CACTTCACCATTTTATTTAAAAGGGAATAAAGGAGAAAAATAAAGTTTGGCCATAAACACACTTTAAAGTACGAGTGCACTAATAAAATTGCTTTCTGAGCAATGTATGAGCTGGTAGGAGGAAACATTTTAGAGCTTAACCTTAAGTTTATGAAAATATTTTCTGCAGCAAAAAGTGCAGTTTTGACATGGCTAGCTTGCAGCATCCCTAAGTACTGGAGTTTTATTTACCTTGCTGTTGTCCACCCCTAAAAATCATTTTACAATGGTGATCTTCTTGCTATCCTCCTATGATATTGCTCTGTTGCTGGTGAAAACAGCAGAGTGTTGGTCTGTCGCTGCTCCCTGCATGACAGCCTAGATTCTACAACTTTTCAGCCTGCAAGGGAGTGACGTTGTAGGAGCAGGCGAGTGCTCTCTCAGGCTAACTTGTTAGACAGTTGCCACCAGTGACAGACCCACGTATAAGACACATGCTGTATGGGAGGCAGAAGCAGGGTCTGTAGCATGCTGGCTCAAAGTCAAAAGCATCAAGCCTGATAGATTTCATCTACCAACTTTACACTATGAGCAAGGCAAAAGTAAGAAAAATAGAATTTCTTTGCAATTTGCAAGTCTCCAAGCCACCACAGGCCAACTGGTTCTGCTTTTCTGCTGCAAGAGGCATACTTTTACTATGAGACAGCAAATAGTTTAAATTTTAGAGATGCAGAATATATTTATAAGACTGCTTATTCTTTCAATAGTAATTCAACATAAAGAGTAACATTTTACATTATGCATGCACATTTTGATTCAATAAAAGGTAACTATGCCGAGTGGTGGCACCTGATGTGTGGTGTGCCAATACAAAAAAAATTAGATGCATCTCAACAATTTATAAACAATAAGATGCTGGTTTAGAGGGTATTTGCTACAGTGCACTAAGCAGATTCCATAGGATAGCTCAGATTTACCAGCTTATAAAAGATGGTGAATATAAAATGTAGTCAATTGTTATACAGTGGGGCAAAAAAAGTATTTAGTCAGCTACCAATTGTGCAAGCTCTCCCACTTAAAAAGATGAGAGAGGCCTGTAATTGGCATCATAGGTAGACCTCAACTATGAGAGACAAAATGAGAAAAAAAATCCAGACAATCACATTGGCTGATTTGGAAAGAATTTATTTGCAAATTATGGTGGAAAATAAGTATTTGGTCACCTACAAACAAGCAAGATTTCTGGCTCTCACAGACCTGTACCTTCTTCTTTAAGAGGCTCCTCTGTCCTGCACTCATTACCTGTATCAATGGCACCTGTTTGAACTTGTTATCAGTATAAAAGACACCTGTCCACAACCTCAAACAGTCACACTCCAAACTGCACTATGGTGAAGACCAAAGAGCTGTCGAAGGACACCAGAAACAAAATTGTAGACCTGCACCAGGCTGGGAAGACTGAATCTGCAATAACCAAGCAGCTTGGTGTGAACAAATCAACTGTGGGAGCAATAATTAGAAAATGGAAGACATACCAGACCACTGATAATCTCCCTCAATCTGGGGCTCCACGCAAGATCTCACCCTGTGGGGTCAAAATGATCACAAGAACGGTGAGCAAAAAACCCAGGACCACACAGGGGGACCTAGTGTATGACCTGCAGAGAGCTGGGACCAACGTAACAAAGGCTACCATCAGTAACACACTACGCCGCCAGGGACTCAGATCCTGCAGTGCCAGACGTGTCCCCCTGCTTAAGCCAGTACATGTCCGGGCCCGTCTGAAGTTTGCTAGAGAGCATTTGGATGATCCAGAAGAGGATTGGGAGAATGTCATATGGTCAAAATAGACCAAAATAGAACGGTTTGGTAGAAAACACAACTCGTCGTGTTTGGAGGAGAGAGAATGCTGAGTTGCATCCAAAGAACACCATACCTACTGTGAAACATGGGGTGGCAACATCATGCTTTGGGGCTGTTTCTCCGCAAAAGGGACCAGGACGACTCATCCATGTACAGGACAGAATGAATGGGGCCATGTATCGTGAGATTTTGAGTGCAAACCTCCTTTCATCAGCAAGGGCATTAAAGATGAAACGTGGCTGGGTCTTCCAACATGACAATGATCCCAAACATACCGCTCGGGCAACGAAGGAGTGGCTTCGTAAGAAGCATTTCAAGGTCCTGGAGTGGCCTAGCCAGTCTCCAGATCTCAACCCCATAGAAAACCTTTGGAGGGAGTTGTAAGTCCGTTTTGCCCAGCGACAGCCCCAAAACATCACTGCTCTAGAGGAGATCTGCATGGAGGAATGGGCCAACATACCAGCAACAGTGTGTGCCAACCTTGTGAAGACTTACAGGAAACGTTTGAGCTCTGTCATTGCCAACAAAGTATATATAAAAAAAGTATTGAGATGAACTTTTGATATTGACCAAATACTTATTTTCCACCATAATTTGCAAATAAATTCTTTCCAAATCAGCCAATGTGATTGTCTGGATTTTTTTTCTCATTTTGTCTCTCATAGTTGAGGTCTACCTTTGATGCCAATTACAGGCCTCTCTCATCTTTTTAAGTGGGAGAACTTGCACAATTGGTGGCTGACTAAATACTTTTTTGCCCCACTGTACATAAGCCAGTGTTCGTTTATCTATAAATCATAGGCTTCTACGTATATTTACAGATGTATGCAGCTAAAACTTCAGCAGAATGATACAATGCAGAAATTTTGTTTTCCGTTTTAATTTCATGCTGTCCCAGTGGAAAATCTGCAGTTTTGGCATCTTTTATGCTGCAGAAAATTACTCAACATGGCAGTGACTACAGTCAATTTATTACTACACTGCAATATTAATCCTGACACTGACAAAGCTGGTAAAAATGTATTTTATTCAATTAGCGAGTTGGTACTTGGCCAAGTGTTCTTTTTCAGGTGACAAAACTATCTTTAGGTGTTCTTACCAGTAATGCTGAACACAAGGCAACTTGCTTGCTTTCTGAAATTGATGTGCAAATAATATCCTTCTACATGTCCCCACTCTGCTGGTATGAAATCCTGCACTTTGTGGTTTCTTTGTACTACAGCTACCGCTGAATACAGATTTTAGATGTGCTTTTATGGATTTGACAATTCAGGCAGACACATGGATCTGCAGCACAACTGGATCAAAAGTGATCAACTTGCTACTTTAAAATGACAGATAACAGAGCAAAGGAAGGGAGACAAAGTTGCGCTTTGTGCTACATTCGCCTCCACTACTGACCTCGATTTGTTTTTAAGACACATTTACAAGGGATTCTCACGGTACACTTCTCAAGCACAGTGAATTTCACACAAGCAAAATGTATTCATAAAACGCTGGACTGCCAGGAACTTGGTAACGTAAAGTGGCATTAAACCCCCCCAAAAAATTGAAAATATTGCAGCTTACCAATCCACACATTTGGTGGCTGCATCAATTTTCTTTTATTAAGCCTTTCCTTTGTTTCACCTGGTGATCTAGCCAGTAACACTTTTTGTTTTAGGGTATCTGCATTCTGGATGAAGTGGTAAAGCAGACACCTTTGGACAGTAGCATTGTCAGTCTGGGGAAGGGTAATGTTAGACTAACATATAAATAAACAACAAGCTATATAGTGAGCGCTCAGAATGTGTACAGCATTTAAACATATAGTTGATAAATAAGTTCCATCGATAAATATATATAAAAAAAAGTTCAATGAGTAGCAATAAAGTAATTTCTTATGAGGCAGGTATATCGGTACTTCTAATGCTGGTATAAACAGCCGACCAAAATTAGCAGAAGTGCGCACTCACCGGAAGCGCATAAAAACAGCGCATGTAGTAATTTATGATAGGTGGTGGGCTGCCTCCAAGATCCAGTATCCAGAGGAGGCAGCCCTTAACAAAGTAGAGCGCCCATCCATCCTAAGGGGGACCTCTGGACCAGGCAGAATCTCACCATTCACCATGGCTTGATGATCTTGGAGGCAGCCCACCACCTATCATATATTACTACATGCGCAGTTTTTATGCGCTTCCGCTGAGTGCGCACTTCTGCTAATTTTGGTTTGGTGCTTATACCAGCATTAGAAGTACCAAGATACCTGCCTCATAAGAAATTACTTTATTGCTACTCATTGAACACATATATATATCCCTCCAACCCCGTTCCCCCTCACTCAGCTACCCCCTCATCACCCCTCTCCCACGGCCCCACCACTGCTCTGACCTCTACTTCCACCCCACCCTACATTCCTCATACTGAAGCCTACCCCACCCCCTGCTAACTTGCCGACCTCCTCCACTCTTCCTACCACTCCATCCCCCACAGCTATCTCCTCCTGTACCACTATCCCCTCCCTCCTAGATTGTAAGCTCGAAAGAGCAGGACCCTCAATCCCCTCATGTTTTGCATTGTATTGGTATTGTTCTGTCACATGTTCTGTCCCCCTTTGTAATGTACAGCACTGAGTAAACTATTGGCGCTTTATAAATACTGTATAATAATAATATTTATCGATGGAACTTATTTATCAACTAAATGTTTAAGCATTGCACTTCGACTAATGTTAGACTAACATATGTTGATGGACTAGTATTAACAAATTAAAGCTGAATGCTAGCTAACTGCTTTTTTCCTTTTGACAAAAACTTTACATAAATAAAAAAAAAGCTGACCATTATAAAAATACACATGGCCAGTATTAAATGTTTTTTTTTCTCAACCTTCTAACTGCTACTTTGTCTAGACACCTTGGTCTGTTAAAGGAAGATGAAAAATAACAGGGTTACTGGCTGAATTACCAGATGAAAATAAAGGGGGGGGGGGGGGTATAGAAAGGGAAACTAATGCAGCCCCGTGTCTAAGAGTTGGTTAGCTGCAATTTAAAACATTTTTTGTTCTATTGTTTATTACCGATTTAAAAGCGCATGATTCCTTACATTCCCTGGCACACACGATGCCAGGCTTAGAATTCCAGGCATTATTGATACATTGTGGTCATCCCAGATATTCACCTGCTATGGGCACATAACCGACACCTTGCTGGTAGACCGTAGGCATGAACACCACAGGTTGAGACTGCATCAACATTCCTGCTGGCACGGACTGGAATAAAAAAGTAAACATAATAAAAGGTACGTAAATGGAAAACAAAATTAGTTTGATGTAGACATTCCTTTTGCTCCTTGTACTGCAGACGTATGCACTTTAAAGTGTAAATAAAGATTAAAACTTTGTTTTGAATATAGTAAGCAAATGGTTAAGCCTCCTAGTGTTTTTTTTTTTTGGTTGTATGTGTCCTCTTAGGGAAATTTCTCTTCATACCGGTCCTGGGGACACAGCAGGTAATAAAAAGAGATCTTTTTAAAGTAACAGTTATGGTGACCACTAAAATGGCATACCAGGTTCCTCACCTCCTGTCTCTGTGACATTACAAAAGTGCTGTATTTCCAATCACTTTCCATACCAGTGACAATGATCACCAAGTAGGGAAACAGACTGCAATAAAAACCCGAGAAAGATGCTAACTCCTTAATATCATATCCAAGAAAAATTAAAATAAATATAAAAAAGTTTTTGGCTTGATATTCACTTTAAGTTTACTATTCATCTATTACCATTCAAAACTTCTTTGGTCGTAACCAAGCTGCAGCTAATTGCTAAAGGTGGTCACATGAAGAGAGACTGTTGGTTTGGAAATAAGCAATTTGATAAAGTGTCTTTTCACTTCACATGCACATCAATGATGTGAGCATGTCAAGCTACATGCTACCTTTGAATTAGTGCCCATGAGCCAAAACTCGACGAGTCAATTTATCTCTGCCTCACCATAGCGATAATCAGGATTTTGGATGAAACTGGTATCAACAGTGTTAGGTGCATGGGAATCCGGAGTTTTCAGCACAACTAGAAAACTGACAAGGGTGTGCTCTCCTGCCTAGTGTGGTCAGTTTTTAATAGATGAACAGGCAGGAACACCAGGTATTTAACACAAAAGAAGCAATACAAAGAGAACAGGATACGTTATCATAAAAGTACATGGTACAGCAGGCACATATCAGGAATATGACATGTTTCCTAGATTGTAATCTCGAAAGAGCAGGGCCCTCGATCCCCTCATGTTTTGCATTGTATTGGTATTGCTCTGTCACATGTTCTGTCCCCCTTTGTAATGTACAGCGCTGAGCAAACTATTGGCGCTTTATAAATACTGTATAATAATAATAATGTTGGGCTTACATATTCTTTAAGGAAGCATCACACCACAACAATACCTGTAATCTACATATCTTGCCACCTATTTCACTATTGGTCCTGATTATGTGGATTTAGCTATATAAACACTAAGGGCCATTTACAGATTGGTAAAGTGGGACTTGAACATAAAGCTGAGAATATAAACATTAGTTAAGACAAAATATGATGCAGTTTGCTAATGCACCAAGCATTAGACGTCTTTCAAATTTTTCAGGTGTGCTGTTTAGGAGAGATTCCCCTCTTCTTTAATGACATTACTCGGGCGTGCGCATTGGAATTTCGACTGACGGCACACTAAGTGTGTCATCAATCAGTACAGATACGTGCTGTGTTTATGTCAGCATTACTCCTCGGTATTACATTGTAATAACGCAAGAATGCTGTCAGTCATCAGTTCAGGCTTGGTTTTATCCTATTGCGCATTGCAAAATTAATGCACTGATGTATTTAAAGGGTGGAAGTTTGGGCGGGGGAAGGCAGTGGAGGATTCTGCAAATAGGGTGCTAGCTTGGGATGAAAGGACTACAAAAATAAAAAGCTACAGAAATCTTAAGAAAATTTTTATGATGCTCTGGCTTATCCCTATATATTTGAAAATGCATCAAATTCTGGTATTATGATTTTACTTGATTATTTGCTTTGAGATCTAAGCATTGATGTGTATATTATGTAAGATAAAGAAATAAGCTCTCACCGTGTAAGACAAAACCAGGTTGATCATGCCTTCTTTGTCATCTCCTTGCCTGCCACTCAGACTGAACCATTCATCTATTACCTTTCCATCCTTTAACGATTCTGGGATAGTGATGTGTGTCCATGCAATGCGGTCATCCATGGAGAATGCTCTCTGCATGGTTAGAAATGAACAATGTCAGGCATACAAAAAAAAAAAAAGTTCCAATTTTTGAAGTACTAAATGATTTGCCAAGATCAGTCCAGAGTTGAATGTAATGCACTTGATCCAGATCGGTTACATAGCCTGTCAGTGCAATAGAGGTTTTAAGGAGGATCTCTAACTTCTCATCCACCAGTGACTTCTATGCTGTGGGGTCCAAGTACTGTTCCCCGAAGCAATGCCAAGGGGTCGCCGATCCAGAAGCTGCAATCCTACTTCTGCAGTGGTGTCAGTGTGGTTAGGGGGAGAAGGGTTTTCTCCATGTGAAGAAGCAAAGTTTTCCATCTTCAAACATAATTGGAATCATAAGCCAGACACCTGCTCTTAGTAAAAAGAAGACATTCACCACCCAAGAGAAAAAATGAGGACTGCTGGGAGCAAAAGGGGCTTTTCTAACAACTTTGTAGTGTTCTCCCTGAGGGTGGCAGCATATAACGTACGGTCAAGAAATAAAGCAGCCCGTGTGCTGTACAATTCAGGAATATCTTGCATTTTACCTGGCAGAGGATTCAACCACTTGCCAACCAGCGACATACCAGTACGTCGCTGGATTAGGGTGGTAACTTGGACAGTGATGAATGAGATATCATTTTTTAAGGCCAGCAATTCCCTTGAATGTAAAAGTAATCCTAGTGGCTGAGAGGCCACTGGATTACTTTTATAAGTTGTAGTCCCCAACCCCCTCCCCTCACTTCGCCACTGCTTTTACCGGGCTCTTCAGAACGATCGGGGAGTCGGGAGGGATTCCACTGGTTACATCTGGTTCCTAAGACACAGTGAAAGGAGCTCATCTTGTTACTCCCACTGTGTGACGTCTAAAACCGAACGCAACGAGGATTTAATCACTTCTGGTTTCAATCGCTTTCTTTAGAAGCCATCGACTGCTTGTATAGCAGCAGATCAAACCGATCTGCTGCTTTGGAGGCCGGATGAGAAATCTGGAATCTCACACACCCTAGATTTCTCCATAAAGAGGACATGCCAAGGCCCATGCCATCACAAAGAATGTTGTTCATCCCATGTGATCAAAAAAAGATGTAAAAAGGTACCGTGTAAAAATAGAAAAAAAGAATTTAAAGTGTCGGTCCTGCACGCATAATTAAACAGGGATTGCACCACACATGTGAGGTATCGCCACGAACGTCAGAGACAGAACAATAATTCTACCACTAGACCTCCTGAGTAAAGCTAAAGATGTAACCTGAAAAAGCTTTTAAAGCATCGTTTATGAATAATTTAAATTTACCGTAGTTTGTTGCCGTTCCATAGGCGTGCACAATTTTAATGTGTGGTATGTCTGGTATCTATTTACTTGACATAACATCTTTTAAATATTTCTAAAAATTAGGCATTTTATTGTATTTGTATGCACTAAAATTCATTAAAGTGTATTTTTTCCTAAAGATGTGCATTTGAAAAACCACTGCGCAAATACCACGTGACATAAAAATTGCAACACCCACCATTGTATTCTCTAGGGTCCCTGTAAAAAAAAAATAGAGCCCACAAACAATATATTTTTGTAAATATTTTATTATATCTTTTCATGTGACAACACTGCCATTAAAATGTTTAAACCGCTGGCAACAAAAGTAAGTACACCCCTAAGTGAAAATGTCCAAAGTGGGCCCAAAGTGTCAATATCTTGTGTGGCCACCATTATTTTCCAACACTGCCTTAACCCTCTTGGGCATGAAGTTCACCAGAGCTTCACAGGTTGCCACTGGAGTCCTCTACCACTCCTCCAGGACGACATCACGGAGCTGGTGGATGTTAGAGACCTTGCGCTCCTCCACCTTTCGTTTGAGGATGCCCCACAGATGCTCAATAGGGTTTAGGTCTGGAGACATGCTTGGCCAGTCAATCACCTTTGCCCTCAGCTTCTTTAGCAAGGCAGTGGTCATCTTGGAGGTGTGTTTGGGGTCGTTATGTTGGAATACTGCCCTGCGGCCCACTCTCCGAAGGGAGGGGATCATGCGCTGCTTCAGTATGTCATAGTACATGTTGGTATTCATGGTTCCCTCAGTGAACTGTAGCTCCCCAGTGGCGGCAGCACTCATGCAGCCCCAGACCAGAACACTCCCACCACCATACTTGACTGTAGGCAAGACACACTTTTCTTTGTACTCCTCACCTGGTTGTCACCACACACGCTTGACACCAAATAGTTTATCTTGGTCTCATCAGACCACAGGACATTGTTCCAGTAATCCATGTCCTTAGTCTGCTTGTCTTCAGCAAACTGTTTGCAGGCTTTCTTGTGCATCATCTTTAGAAGAGGCTTCCTTCTGGGATGACAGCCATGCAGACCAATTTGATGCAGTGTGTGGTGTATGGTCTAAGCACTGACAGGCTGACCCCCCACCCCTTTAACCTCTGCAGCAATGCTGGCAGCACTCATACGTCTATTTCCCAAAGACAACATCTGGATATGACGCTGAGTACGTGCACTCAACTTCTTTGGTCGACCATGGTAAGGCCTGTTCTGAGTGGAATCTGTCCTGTAAAACCGCTGTATGGTCTTGGCCACCATGCTGTAGCTCAGTTTCAGGGTCTTGGCAATCTTCTTATAGCCTAGGCCATCTTTATGTAGATCAACAATTTTTTTTTTTTCAGATCCTCACAGTTCGCCATGAGGTGCCCTGTTGAACTTCCAGTGACCAGTATGAGAGAGAGAGTAATAACATCAAATTTAACATACCTGCTCCCCATTCACACCTAAGACCTTGAAACACTAACGAGTCACATGACACCGGGGAGGGAAAATGGCTATTTGGGCCCAATTTGGACATTTTCACTTAGGGGTGACTCACTTTTGTTGCCAGCGGTTTAGACATTAATGGCTGTGTGTTGAGTTATTTTGAGGGGACAGCAAATTTACACTGATATACAAGCTGTACACTCATTACTTTACGTTGTAGCAAAGTCTCATTTCTTCAGTGTTGTCACATGAAAAGATAGAATAACATATTTACAAAAATGTGAGGGGTGTGTGTGTGTTTTCATGTGACAACACTGAAGAAATTAAACTTTGCTACAATGTCAAGTAATGAGTGTACAGCTTGTATAACAGTGTAAATTTGCTACATACGCACAGTGGACGGGAAGCGATTAATGAAAAGTTAGGACAGAAGAATAAAAAAAAATTAAAAAATAAAAATGCAAGCTTTCATGTACTTATACAAAAATTGTATATTAGCAAGGCTGCTGGTGTAAGGACATATATTAACATACACACACACATACATACCCACAAATATATATATTTAATATGCAACACATTCTAACCTCATCAAAGATTTCCAGGTAGAAGGAATCAACTCCCGGTGGTACAGTACACTGGATCACCTTGTTCCATCTGGGATTTTTGGCACCATTATGTGCCGTGGGAGTCTCATACACTGCATACCCCAAACGTATCCTGCAGTATGGATCCATTCGTGTCATACCATAGTTCTTTGCGAGCTTGGCCTACATAAAGACATGAATTATCAACTGCTATGATACACAGCTACAAGGATCTTCATCAGTTATACATTCTAATGTGCATTAATGTCATAGAAAACTGAATGAGTCCTTCTTCCTTATGGGCTGTGTCCAGATTTTAGGCATGCATTTGTGTGAATAAAAATCTGCAAGAGAATAACTGATAAAATGTGATAACAGACAGACAATCCACTCTAGAGCTACTTCGCCACAAAAATGCGCAGCAAGACTGTAACCTTTTTTAATGTTATACAATTCAAATAACTTACAGTGCTTTGAAAAAGTATTCATACCCCTTGAAATTTTCCACATTTTGTCATGCTACAACCGAAAACATACAGTGAGGAACAGAAGTATTTGAACACCCTGCGATTTTGCAAGTTCTCCCACTTCATGGAAATCATGGAGGGGTCTGAAATTCACATTATAGGTGCATTCCCACTCTGAGAAACAGAATTAAAAGAAAAATTCTGAAAATCACATTGTATGATTTTTAAAGAATTTATTTGTCTTGCACTGCTGAACATAAGTATTTCAACACCTGAGAAAAGCAGTGTTAATATTTGGTACAGAAGCCTTTGTTTGCAATTACAGAGGTCAGACGTTTCCTGTAGTTCTTGACCAGGTTTGCACACACTGCAGCAGGGATTTTGGCCCACTCCTCCACACAGATCTCCTCTAGATCTGTCAGGTTTCGGGGCGGTCGCTGAGCAACACGGAGTTTCAGCTCCCTCCAAAGATGTTCTATTGGATTTAGGTCTGGAGACTGGCTAGGTCACTCCAGAACCTTGATATGCTTCTTACGAAGCCACACCTTGGTTATCCTGGCTGTGTGCTTCGGGTCGTTGTCATGTTGGAAGACCCAGCCACGACCCATCTTCAATGCTCTGACTGAGGGAAGGAGGTTGTTGCTCAAAATCTCACAATAAATGGCCCCATTCATCCTCTCCTTAATAGCACCCCCAAAGCATGATGTTACACCCCCATGCTTCACAGTAGGGATGGTGTTCTTGGGATGCAACTCATCCTTTCCTACAAACACGACGACTGAAGTTTAGACCAAAAAGTTCTACTTTGGTCTCATCTGACCACATGACTTTCTCCCATGCCTCCTCTGGATCATCCAGATGGTCATTGGCAAACTTCAGACGGGCCTGGACATGTGATGACTTGAGCAGGGGAACCTTCCGGGCAATGCACAATTTGAAACCATGACGGCGTAGTGTTCTACCGACAGTGACCTTTGAAACTGTGGTCCCAGCTCTCTTGTCATTGACCAGCTCCTCCCTTGTAGTTCTGGGCTGATTCCTCACCTATCTTATCAGTGATACCCCACGAGGTGAGATCTTGCAAGGAGCCCCAGCTTGAGGAAGACTGACAGTCGTCTTTAGCCTCTTCCATTTTCAAACAATTGCTCCAACAGTTGATCTATTTTCACCAAGTTGCTTGGCAATTGCCCCGTAGCCTTTTCCAGCCTTGTGGAGGTCCACAATTTTGTCTCTGGTGTCTTTTGACAGCTCCTTGGTCTTGCTCATGGTAGTAGTTGGCGTCTGACTGACTGTGGGGTGGACAGGTGTCTTTAAAGAGCTCAGACAGGTGCTACTAAGTTAGATTAATGAGTGGAGAAGAGGTGGACTTTTTAAAAAGGTACAGTAACAGGTCTTTGAGAGCCAGAATTCTTGCTGTTTCTTAGGTTTTCAAACACTTATGTTCAGAAGTGCAAGACAAATTCTTTAAAAATCATACAATGTGATTTCCTGAATTTTTTTTTTTTTTAATTCTGTCTCTCAGAGTGGGAATGCACCAACAATGTGAATTTCAGACCCCTCCATGATTTCTAAGTGTGAGAACTTGCAAAATCGCAGGGTGTTCAAATACTTTTGTTCCTCACTGTAAACGTATATTATTGGGATTTTATGTGATAGACCAACACAAAGTGGCATATAATTGTGAAGTGGAAGGAAAATGATAAATGGTTTTCAAAATTTTTTACAAATAAATATCTGAAAAGTGTGGCATGCATTTGTATTCAGCCCCCTGAGTACATTGAAGAACCACGTTTCACTGCAATTACAGCTGCAAGTCATTTTGGGTATGTCTCTACCAGCTTTGCACATCTAGAGTGACATTGATGCCCATTCTTCTTTGCAAAATAGCTCAAGCTCTGTCAGATTGGATGAAGAGCCTGAACAGCAATTTTAGTCTTGCCACAGATTTTCAATTGGATTTAGGTCTGGACTTTGACTGGGCCATTCTAACACATGAATATGCTTTGAACTAAACCATTCCATTGTAGCTCTGGCTGTATGTTTAGGGTAGTTGTCCTGCTGGAAGATAAACCTCCGCCCCAGTCTCAAGTCTTTTGCAGACTCTTAACAGGTTTTCTTCTAAGATTGCCCTGTATTTGGCTCCATCCATCTTCCCATCAAATCTGACCAGCTTTCTTATCCCTGCTGGAGAAAAGCATCCCCACAACATGATGCTGCCACGTTTCATGGTGGGGATGGTGCGTTCAGGGTGATGTGCATTGTTCGTTTTCTGCCACACATAGCGTTTTGCTTTTAGGCTAAAAAGTTCAATTTTGGTCTCATCTGATATTTGCTGTGTCCCCCACATGGCTTCTCGCAAACTGCAAACGGGACATCTTATGGCTTTCAACAATGGCTTTCTTCTTGCCAGTCTTCCATAAAAGTTAGATTTGTGGAGTGCACGACTAATAAATGTCCTGTGGACAGATTCTCCCATCTAAGCTCTGGATCTCTGAAGCTCCTGCAGAGTTACCATGGGCCTCTTGACTGTTTCTCTGATTAATGCTCTCCTTGCCCAGCCTGTCTGTCTGTTTAGGTGGACGGCCATGTCTTGGTAGGTTTGCAGTTGTACCATACTCTTTCCATTTTCAGTTAATGGACTGAACAGTGCTTCATGAGATGTTCAAAGCTTGAATTTTTTTTTTTTTTTTTTTTATAACCTAACCCTGCTTTAAACCTCTCCACAACTTTAACCCTGACCTGTCTGGTGTGTTCCTTGTCCTTCATGATGCGGTTTGTTCACTAATGTTCTCTAAAAACCTCTGAGGGCTTCACAAAACAGCTGTATTTATACTGAGATTAAATTACACAGAGGTAGACTATTTACTAATTTGGTGACTTCTGAAGGCAATTGGTTCCTCTAGATTTTGGTTAGGGGTATCAGAGTAAAGGGGGCTGAATACAAATGCACACTACACTTTTCAGATACTTATTTGTAAAAAATTTTGAAAACCATTCATCATTTTCCTTCCACTTCACAATTATGTGCCACTTTGTGTTGGTCTATCACATAAAATCCCAATAAATACATTTATGTTCCAGGTTATCCCACTGATGTCCATTGAAGAGGGGTCAATCCGTACCATTTATTTCAGAACCTATTACTGCAGCCCCCCCCCAGCTTTCTCATGTGTGTCCCTTCAGAAACCGACTCTCCCAGGAGTATCCATCTCCTTATCCAGCATTGCATTCAGTGGTTCCTACTGCTGAACCCTAGAGTTTTAAAATGTCCTCCTTACCAATGGTTAAAAATATGTACAGTGAGGAACAGAAGTATTTGAACACCCAGTGATTTTGCAAGTTCTCCCACTTAGAAATCATGGAGGGGTCTGAAATTCACATTGTAGGTACATTCCCACTCAGAGACAGAATTAAAAAAAAAAAATTCAGGAAATCACATTGTATGATTTTTAAAGAATGTATTTGTCTTGCACTGCTGAACATAAGTATTTGAACACCTAAGAAACAGCAAGAATTCTGGCTCTCAAAGACCTGTTACTGTGCCTTTCAAAAGTCCACCTCTACTCCACTCATTAATCTAACTTAGTAGCACCTGTCTGAGCTCTTTAAAGACACCTGTTCACCCCACAGTCAGTCAGACGCCAACTACTACCATGGGCAAGGCCAAAGAGCTGTCAAAAGACACCAGAGACAAAATTGTGGACCTCCACAAGGCTGGAAAGGGCTACGGGGCAATTGCCAAGCAACTTGGTGAAAATGGATCAACTGTTGGAGCAATTGTTAGAAAATGGAAGAGGCTAAAGACGACTGTCAGTATTCCTCGGACTGGGGCTCCATGCAAGATCTCACCTCGTGGAGTATCACTGATAAGATAGGTGAGGAATCAGCCCAGAACTACAAGGGAGAAGCTGGTCAATGACATGAAGAGAGCTGGGACCACAGTTTCAAAGGTCACTGTCATGGTTTCAAATCACTACGCCGTCATGGTTTCAAATCATGCATTGCACGGAAGGTTCCCCTGCTCAAGTCATCTTATGCCCAGGCCCATCTGAAGTTTGTCAATGACCATCTGGATGATCCAGAGGAGGCATGGGAGAAAGTCATGTGGTCAGATGAGACCAAAGTAGAGACCAGTTGTTGTGTTTGGAGGAAAAAGGATGAGTTGCATCCCAAGAACACCATCCCTACTGTGAAGCATGGAGGTGGTAATATCATGCTTTGGGGGTGCTATTAAGGAGAGGATGAATGAGGCCATTTATTGTGAGATTTTGAGCAACAACCTCCTTCCCTCAGTCAGAGCATTGAAGATGGGTTGTGGCTGTGTCTTCCAACATGACAACGACCCGAAGCACACAGACAGGATAACCAAGGAGTGGCTCCGTAAGAAGCATATCAAGGTTCTGGTTTGGCCTAGCCAGTCTCAAGACCTAAATCCAATAGAACATCTTTGGAGGGAGCTGAAACTCCATGTTGCTCAGTGACAGTCCCAAAACCTGACAGATCTAGAGGGGATCTGTGTAGAGGAGTGGGCCAAAATCCCCGTTGCAGTGTGTGCAAACCTGGTAAAGAACTACAGGAAAATGTTTGACCTCTGTAATTGCAACAAAGGTTTCTGTACCAAATATTAACACTGATTTTCTCAGGTGTTCAAATACTTATGTTCAGCAGTGCAAGACAAATAAATTCTTTAAAAATTATACAATGTGATTTCCTGAATTTCCTCACTGAACATATTTTTAACCATTGGTAAGGAGGACATTTTAAAACTCTAGGGTTCAGCAGTAGGAACCACTGAATGCAATGCTGGATAAGGAGATGGATACTCCTGGGAGAGTCGGTTTCTGAAGGGACACACATGAGAAAGCTGGGGGGGGGGGGGGCTGCAGTAATAGGTTCTGAAATAAATGGTACGGATTGACCCCTCTTCAATGGACATCAGCGGGATAACCTGGAACATAAATGTATTTATTGGGATTTTATGTGATAGACCAACACAAAGTGGCACATAATTGTGAAGTGGAAGGAAAATGATGAATGGTTTTCAAAATTTTTTACAAATAAGTATCTGAAAAGTGTAGTGTGCATTTGTATTCAGCCCCCTTTACTCTGATACCCCTAACTAAAATCTAGAGGAACCAATTGCCTTCAGAAGTCACCAAATTAGTAAATAGTCTACCTCTGTGTAATTTAATCTCAGTATAAATACAGCTGTTTTGTGAAGCCCTCAGAGGTTTTTAGAGAACATTAGTGAACAAACCGCATCATGAAGGACAAGGAACACACCAGACAGGTCAGGGTTAAAGTTGTGGAGAGGTTTTAAAGCAGGGTTAGGTTATAAAAAAAAAACAAAAAATTCCAAGCTTTGAACATTATACAATGTGATTTCCTGAATTTCTTTTTTTTAGATTCTGTCTCAGAGTCGGAATGCACCTACAATGTGAATTTCAGACCCCTCCATGATTTCTAAGTGGGAGAACTTGCAAAATCGCAGGGTGTTCAAATACTTCTGTTCCTCACTGTAAATATTTAAATTTCTATAGTCAGGCCAGAGTTCTAATTTAGTTAATGTGGTATCAAACATTTATTAGGTCTGGGGATTTGAAATCTCCTTTCTGCAGGGATGACAGTACGGGCTAGACAGCTTTAAATTGGTCAGCACAGTCAAGGTGCCGACCAGTCAGAAGCTGTCTAGCCTATACTCGTCTGCAAGGAGAGGAGAGAAATCCACGGGGATTTCAAGTCCCCAGAGACCTGTGAAGCAGCCTTTCCTTGTGTGACAGCATGGGATCGGTGCAGGGAGGTTTCTCTCACCGCTTCTGTGTGAATTCAGGCTATGAAAAGCCTGGGTTCACACAGGAGCAGTGGGAAAACCGCATACAATTTGGACAGGAATGGCACTGCATTCCTGTTCAAATCACATGCTATTATTTGCAGTGCAATTTGCGTTCCTACATTTTGTATTGACGCAAATCTCCCCGCAAAGTATCAGCGTGTACTTGATCGAAAGTATCGGCACTTGTACTCGCCAATCAAAAAACCGGTACCAGTGCATGCCTACAGCTTACCAATTCTTTAGATGTGATGGCTGCATTATGTTCCTTTTGTTTGGCTTTCTTTGTTCTATTTTCATCTGCTGATTCAGCCAGTAACTGCTGTTTTTTAGAACGTCAAGCTCTAGCAGAATGTATCAGCTTACACAGATGAGACCATCCATTTACCACTGGGCAGGGGTGATTCAAATGATCAGACTTTATTCATGTATAACCTTGGTCCCAAAAGGAAAAAACTGTTTGTGGAGACTGATTATAAAGTGTTAGCTGGAGTTTGCCCTCAATTTGTTATTTGTATTCAAATCTACTAATACCCTTAAAATATAACTAAAAGCAAAACTTTGTTTTTTTGACTTTTGGACAGAGTGGAGAGGGATTAGACCCTGTCAGTTTTTATTGCTGTCTGTGCCCTTGTTAGGGAGATTCACCCTCTCTATTTGTCCTGTTTACCATTATCACTGCAAGTAAAAGAAAATCCCAAATTTTGGGACATCCCCAGAAAAGTAAAAGAGGTGAAATCTTCAATGGGGACACTAGTTCTGGGCAACCCCAAGGAATTCCCCTAATTCCCAGGGATTTTTCTCACTTCCTGTGTGGCTATGGGGCAGGAAGTGAAGGGAAATCTCAGCAATGGAACACAAATCTGACAGGAGTTATAACCCTCCCTTGTGCTATCCAAAATGAAAAGGGAAAAAAAAAAACAACATTTTGCCTATAGTTGTACTTTAACACTCCCATCTAAGACAACATCAAGAGACCACAGGAAGTGCTGGTTATAACAGCAGCAATGTGGGGTAGTTAACAGTAAAGTGTGCAGGCTGTGCTGAGGAAAAGGCACTCTTACTGAGACATCCTATTTACCGCCTACGACTGCTTGAACGCCTTAAGATAAGCCAAGTTAACCTTTAACATCAAGTCATATGCACACCACACATAAATGTCAATTACCTAGCAATCGTATGGTTACCTACCTGCACCACAGTGATGCTGACCCGGCCCATAGTCCCCATTGATCCTGTATATTGTAGCTGCTGTGCAGCCTGGGCATCCAACTGGATTTGCTGTTGCTGTTGGGTGGGTGTGATGCGCAGGAAGTCCTGGGGGAGATCACCAATAAACACCTGCACACACAAAAAAAGGAAGGAATATTATAACAGTTGTGCTGCACTGAATTCACTACAGGCAACACTAAGACAAGAGCAGTAATAACATAGAACATACATATCTAGAAACTAGCCAAACTCAAGTTTAACAACGACTTTTCAAAGGCTGTCATGCACTTCGAGTACAGCTCTTTGACTTCGATAAAATACGTTGAATAAAGCAAAAGGATGGTGCTCTCTGATCAGTTAATTTGCCTTCCAGTGTTGGGCCCTGAATTTAATAAATGCAAGTAGCAATTTGGATCTGTATCTTTTTCCTTTTCCATGGCTATCATTCTAGAGTCAGAAAAATCACCTAACTCCGGCAGGAATAAAACTCTTTAAAGTCATACAGAATGTCTAAAATTCTATAAGAAGATCCTTCTACAAATAAATCTGAATATTGTAAGGAAAAGAACAAGAATGTGTAGTGCCTTACCTTTTCTTCATAAGAAATAACTGATACGATGTGACTAAATGAAAAATGTATGCAGTCCTGCCCTGCCCCACAAGTGTAAGTAGCTTCAGGTGACGCTCTTGGCATTAATGAATCATACGGCAACATTACCGTACTGCACTGATAGCAGAATGATAAAGAACATGGGGAGGGAAGGACAGCATTCCTTACTGATCAAACACCAAGTTCACATAAGCAGAACATTCTCTGAAATAAACAGAAGAGGGCTGGGTAGACAAGTTCTGGCCTGTAGGACAGCTTCAATTATTCCATGACAGTGAGCAAACAGTAGTAAACCAGGATAATTTGGGAACACACTTCCACTTTGATGTATCATTCCACCTTTGGCTAATAAACTAACTGCTATCTCACGATTTCATTAAAGATTCAAGTGGGCAAAGAAAAAAAAAAATTGTAAAGTATATGTAAACCCTCACCTTGTAAAACAACCCATACAGTTTAAAATAAACCACAATTAAACTCTTTATCCGCAGTAGACAGGAAATAGTGGGGCGCAGTTCCAAAGGATAAACATCCATGTTTCCCTAAGCCAACCTGATCCAAGCCATCTTTTTTCTTCTATTGCAAGACTGAAAATAAAAGCTTTTTGCTGTGGACATTATTTTTCCTTTGATCAGCATTTTACCGTGGTAGAAAAGTGGACCTCCGCTTTACAGAAACAGATTCCAGGCCCTCATGCCTTTCATTTCCTTTATAGTCTTTTTTCCTAACACAGTATGCGGGTCAAGTTTACAACCAACTGTAAAGCACTACAGAAAACTGTGGCACTGCATAAATAAAGTTAATAGCAACACTTAAATCTAATAAAAACCAATATGCCCCGAGGGGTTGTGACTTGCAAATATAAATATGTGCCAATAGAAGAAAAGAGAAGAATGCAAATGTGTTTCCTCTACGTTGTGTTGCAAGATATGCACTCAGAATTGTCACATTGTCTGGGATTGGCACATGTGACCTCACTCATTGTACTCAGGTAGACATCTGCCCATCTACAGACCAGCTAAGGTCAATGCCACACTTGCAGTTTTGTTGGTTGTGAATTCTTGCTACACAATGCAGGAAGAACACTCACATGCTTTCTGTTGCTTCCATGCCAGATTTCAAAAGGTAAGCTGCTAGTGAGAGAATGACACTTTGCTCATTTAACTGGTGAATGAGCGACACAAGCAAGCAGGGGAATGTTTCACTGCCGGAATAGGTCAAAGTAATTCCAGCCAGTGTCAGGACCACTACTCTGTCACAAGTGTGACAACTCTAGTTTAAATCAGATAATTGCTGAGAACAGCACTACTTAACATATAAACGCAGACTCGATATGTAATCATGGATGAAACCATGTACATTCCAAATATTATAAAAAATGATACATCGTATAATTTGCTTTTTATCTGCTTATAAAAACACACTTACACACTGTGTGTGTGTGTGTGTGTGTGTGTGTGTGTGTGTGTGTGTGTGTATGTATATTTTATATATATACACACACACACACACACACACACACACACACACACACACACACACACACGTATATACACACACGCACGCATATTGTGAGTAAGGCCTTCAACTCATTTAAAATGACGTCTGAGTTGTCAGTAACTTGCTCATCTGTAGCAAGGACAGCTTTTGCCATTTCTGAACATGTTATTTGCAATGAAACCACTAGATGTCCCCCTTGTATCACATCCATAGAAGTAGAGGTCCCAGAGCATGTTCTATGTTATCTGTCTACATGACTTAGAAGACCCATTTGCATAGGTACACTCAAACTCTGGCGGAATAAAAATATACCCAATTTGACACAATTGCAATTTCAAATTTTGTGCATATGGCAAAAAAAAGCACACATGCGATGGTAAAATTTTCTTAAACTGCTAAAAAGTTTTTAAAGTGCATAGATATTGCAAGAAAAAAAAATGCAAAGAAACACAAATACAGGACAACTATACTTTCACAAAAAGAAAATAAAATTAGACAATGCATTTTGCACAAAATGTTTGTCTTTAACCTGTAACCTGCCCCCAACAGAAGGATTGGATACTGGAGGAAAAAACAAGAACCTGTAGCCTGACCCAGGGTAACTCTTCCTACTACCTGCATGACACAGTTTTGTAGCAAAACAGGACAAAAGATAAAAAAAAAAAAAAAAACACGACAAAAAGAGTTGTACCTGTGTCTCTCAATAGGCTCCAGAAAGGTTTAATGGTGACAACAAACGTCTATTTTCTTTCTTGATCATTGTGAGATAAAGGAAGTTTAGCCTTTCAGAATGTCCAAAAGCAGTCCAACCAAGGGCTGGGCAACACAGCAAACAATTATTAACAGACCCAAGAAAGAACAACAGGCAACTAGATACTGTCTGCAGCTAAAAGTGCCTCCTGAAGGACATTATGCTCAAACCTGGCATCAGATAGGACCGAAACATCCACCTGGTACAACCTGGAGGATGTTTGGACAACAGACCATGTGGCAGCCTTGAAAATCTGGGGAACAGGTGCTTGATTCCAAAAAGCTGAAAGTGCTGACAAACCCAGTGAAGTGTGCCTTGTCAGAAAAGAGCAAAACTAGAGATCCTTAAGCTTGAATGATGGTCTGTGCAGCCCTGAGATAGTGGAACGAGAAGCTGGGGCACGCTTTCAGGGTCCTGCAGGATGACAACGTAATCAGCGCTTCTGAAAGAAGTGCCAGCTGGGAGATGGGCCTGCACAGCCTGTACCACATCCAGACAGTTCAGAGAAACTGTCTTTCGATGAACCAGATAAAAGGGATGGGAGAACAAGGTCTTGATTTGCAATGAATAGCAGAAACTAAGGCTGGCCATACATTATACATTTATCTTCCAATTTTCTGCCCAATTTCCTTTAGATTTACCTTCAACTGTGTAGTACAAGGGCCTGCCTAGTTGGATACAACTGAAAGTGTTGTTTAGGTTTGTCCTCCTATTATATGGTTTTTGGCAAATCTAAACCAAAAATCTCCAGATATTTGTATAATGTATGGCCAGCCTAAGGCTACGTTCACACTAGCCTTGTCAGCAGGCATCAGACAGGTGTTTGGGAAGCGTTTTTAACTCTTCTCAAATGCCTCTGAAAATTTTGCACATGGCAGCACAGGGAAGCGCTAGCTCGCATCGTGGCAAAACTGACGCCTCTGATCGAGTCAGGAGGAGTTGAAGCCTCCCATTCAAGTCTATGGTGCTGCTCCGCAAACGCCTGGCTAGTATTATCGGTGCGGTTGCGAGGCGTTTGCGGAGTGTTAATACCATTTAAACTTCATTATAGGAGTTTGTGGTGCAGATTTAACACTTGGCAAACACCTATCAACCGCCTCAAAACCACGCATAGAGCGTTTTGGGAGCGTTTGTGAAGCGTTTTAAACGCTCCGCAAGCACCTAACGCCTGTCAAACGCTATAGGGGCATTTGGCAAGAGTTAGAAATAAAGTCAAGTGTGAACGAGCCCTAACTTAAGCAAGAGACGGGGTGCTACATAGGGAACCCCCTGTACAAAGGTCTCAATCAAAAACTGGGAAACCAACAGCCTCAAACAGAATGAAAACGGCAGACACGTGATCCTTGATGCTGGTGCTCAAGAGGCAAATGTGGGTCTAAATCCAGCTGCAGAAAGCTCCTCGGGTGGAAAGTTTTTACCTTAATGCACAGAATGCATTAAAAGTATTACTAAACCTACAAACAGTAAAATCAGTCTGTACTGTATATGCAGTAAATCATGCTTGTTATACTCCGTGGAACCTAAAGGGTTAATCCTCTGCATTGTGTAAAAAGACTGATCCTGTCTTCTCTGCCCCTCCTCTTGTTGAAATGACCACCTGATACAGACTGAACCTGTGGTCACATGCTCAGTTTGGTGTGTATTGCTATAGAGGGGTTTTTTTTTTTTTTTTCTTGGGAAGGTGCATGTGATCAGCACAGGGCCAATCAGCACTGCTCCTAGAGCAGAAAGAAAACTCCCCCTACAAGCTTTAACCAGTGTTATGCTGAAATCACAAGACTGCTATACACTGCTGATAAAAAAAGGTATTTATTTATTATATATATTTATTAGTTCATATTTACTAAAATAATTGCATTTCCATGTTCTGTGTACTGTGGGAGACCAGATATAGTGAATGCAGGGTCCTGGGTTTAGTAACACTTTAAAGGTAAAAAATCTTTTGACTTTAGAACCACTTTAAAATGCAAGTTCACCTTTTCAGCAGAAAATGGATGTGGGGTAGGGATGCTCAACATTTTGAAGAGCAACAGCCACTTAAAGCGGTACTAAACCGCAGTAAAGGGGGGAAAAAAAAAAAAAAAAAAAGTCCCCTGCAAGGCAATGTCATAATGTGCTTGTATGCATCACATACTAGCACATTATGTAAAACTTAACTTAAAATGAAGCTCTCCAGTGGCGTGCGGTCATCGCTGTAGAGGCTTCCATCTTCACCTGGCTTCCTTCCGGGTTTGCGAGCTCCGGCTGTCTGACAGGCCAGGCCACGATGAC